TCAATTAAATTTATTAGAATTATTATTGGAAGCAACTATGCAAAAAAGTTGACTATATGGAAATAGATTTCAATGAACATAATTGATATTTTGTTTGTATTTCAGGATACAGTCATACGCAAAAGGCAGTAAAGCCATTTAATACAATATTTTATGCAGAAATTTTTAAAAATTATATCAATTCGTATAATATCTCTTATTGAAACGTATCCTCAGGTATTGAAACTTTAATCAATTTCACAATATGTGCACTGAAATTTTTTTTGAACTGAAACTTGCTCTGGTAATCGTGTAATATGCCTGCCTCTGTACATTCAAAGCAAAACCATTTTTACTTATGTGCATTGAACCTGAAATAGAGTTTCTGATTCAAACTATTTGCATTACTGAACTGAAAACTTATATTGCAATAAATAAAATGGAATTCAATCAAATGCATAAGGAATGAAAGTATAATAAAAAGTATTGTATTGCTTTTCCGCTGTAGTACACATGCAAAACTTCTTTAGATACAAGATGCAATACTATTTTAAATTCAATTTTTTTTTTTTGTTTTTTGGTTTATCTTTTTATTTAAGCCAAGCTACTTTATTGAACTGTTTTCTGTTTAGCCTTTCACTTGCATAGCCCTTACATCTTTTATTTCAAATAATAGATTTATTTTCCTAAAAGCAGACTACAGATTGCATTTGCGTATTTATGTACGCAACAAAGCATTCATCCTAATATTGGATAACAACTTACATATTTATCGGTGTTGCAATTTACTTTTACGAGTTCATAACTATGTAGAATCTTTCAGTATAGAAAAGTTGAATTAGCCATGGTAGCCTCGATAAAATAGCACCAGTGAAGTAGCAATACTCGTAACATACTGTGCATGATAAGTGCCTGTATGAAATATCAGAATGTCTTAACATATTGTTTGTTTGATAAAAGAAAATAAAATTTATTTACAGTACTTCGGAATTTGTAAATGGAATAATAAATTTTTATTTTAATTTCATTATGTTTTTAACATAATATATATACATAAATATTTTATAAACATTGTTTGAACGCAAATCTATGTATAATGATTTGCCAACCCTTACTCAATAATAACAATAAAGGACCCTTTTCATCTAATTTGAGTGCAACTTCCAAGATAATGTATGAAACCAAATAATAAATCAAATCCAATTTCGCGTTTAGGACTTGTTGGATTCTTATTATTTTATTTCATACTCTTTCTCACTCTCTCCCTTTATCCTTTTACCTTTCAGCAATTACTATTATCTAGATCCAAATATATATATTTTTTTTATATATAATAAATGTTCCATAGGTTTCGTAAAGAAGTGAACTACAACAACAAAAATTATTTTTATATTATTTTAATTAATTGAATTTCTGGCTGACCATACAGATGTTTCGAGTATTGGCAAATGCCTAACAACAGTGGTATTGGAATTATTTCTTATATTTAATTACTCGTAAATAATTGTTTTGTTACGTTAATAATAAGTGTTACGAACCTTGGTAAATTATGTTAAACGTCATCACTGCTCTATAAAACTAAATCATATATATGATTTAGTTATATAATAGTATATCACCAATATGTTATAAAGTGTCTTATGGCATTAAGGCTTTATATTATTCCTTATTTCCTTATACTGAAACATTTAAAATAATGTAACTGCTTTTATTACTCTTATAGCGCTTGCTAAACGATTGAAAACATGAAAAAACCAATACATGCACAATATCTTTCTTTAGTCCTTTTAAAGTATAGTTTTATGCAAATACAATCAATCGAATTTCACGTGCATGAAGTTTCATCCAGCTCAATTCACCTAATATGACCTGAGGCCACATTATCTAAGTTAAAACACCAAAATTAAACCACTATGAATGTTCAAGGCTTATTAAAATAAGTACGTGCTAATTAAGTAAAATAGGTAACCATAATTTACTCTCTCAAATGCTTATTCACTTACAATAGATACATTCATAATAAAGGCATTTCAAATAATTTTATATAGAAAAAATTCATGTACTACCTTTCAACTTCTTTTGAACTCCAATAAATTTAAATAATAATATGATGAGCAAATATTGATAATTGCTTTTAAAGTTGACTAACTATTTGGCTGATAAGATTATAAAGTGCTCTCAATTTTTGATTACCGTCTGATAATATTGACTGTTAATAACATGAATTACAAAATAAACACTTTTAAGCAGTAAATTTCCCAAATACTGAACCACTTTAACAAAACATTAGTTAATTATGTTATTATTTACTTTATTTCATATAAACGCTGTTTACCTCATGAAAAGAAAATATTTAATAATATTACTACGCATCTCTATAACGTATCTTTTATACGAGACTAACAGAATACCATTAGTACATTAAATCCTTAATAAGCAACTTAACTTAACTCAAAGTTACACTTGTAACCTTCTTGAAAACACCATTTAAATGTCTCTATAAACAAGAATGTTTACTTTTCGTTCTTTTCAATTTACACACTATCAACAAAAAAGAGATATAAGTAAATATTCTGTCAATAAGCAATACCAATAGTGCTTAACAAAAGCAAATATCCTTGCTATTTATTGTTTAGACTGCTGGGAGCTTTGAGGCATAAAACCATATTTGTATGTGTTGAAATATTTGATCTGAGCACACCCACTTAACAAGCCAAAATGCTCAATTCTCGATTAAGTTAATTACATAAAAGCACAGACATGCACAAACATGCACATGGATTTAATGTCCTAACTATTTTAGATTATTATCCTTAAGCTCACATGAAATTTCAGATATACCAAATTTTTAATCTATCTATAAACAACACAATGACAATAAAAGTCATTAAGTCAATTATTAAGGTTCAATTATGCGTTCACTCTTAACCTATGTGAAATGTCAGATGTCAAATGTTAGATGCTAGCTGCTAGTTGATAGTTATGTCATGTATCTACTAAATGCTCATATATGTTATGAATGCTATTTTCGTAACTGACCTAAACTATGCGATATACGTACCTTTAAAATTATTGGCATTTAGTAGTAAACCGCACAATTTGCACTAAAGTATCTTAAAAGAATTTTTATGTTTATGTACATGAATAAAGTTTAGAAACTTATAATGTGTGTCTATTAAATGTACCTGTTAAATGTATCTGTAAAATGTAATTTTAAAATTGTGAAGCCATTATCAATTTATTCATTGATTGGTTAAAAGACTTTGTGGCAAATAAACATATAACTGAGGTTAGTCAAAGGTATGATATTAAGGAATCATTATATTTGTTGCTGAATTTAATCATCTAAACACATATTATTCCCTTAACCTCTCGATTTTATTTATATTTGTTAAACTGTATTTTAAATAAATGTTGAAAATTTGACGTAATTTTAATCAACACTTATATTGTTGTAGAAGAATACATCCAGGACTTACCTTGCTTTTAGTTGTTGTATTTTTCAATTAATTTCTGACTTCTGCTTGGCTTTAATTTATGGATTTTGAATGATTTTCTGTTACTATGAAATGCTCTAGTTGTGCTCAAAATTACCAAATCTTTTTTGGCTTTAAGCTTCTGTTAACAAATTGAATTATAAAATCAGTGGCACATTTCGCGTAATTTTAGTAAAAATCTTGATTAATTTCTTTTTATAGTTTATTTTTTCTCGCCGAAAATGTCAAAAAAAGCATTGAAAGTCAAAAAATTCTAATGAATAATAACTGCGAAGTATCCTGTCACTGCCTATGCGCCGGAAAGGAAAGTTTGTCAAAAACTTTTTCAACGAAATAAGCTTTGATTTACATTTCCTAAGAGGATTTCATACTTACTTAAAATATTCTTTTCGAGTGCAAAATTTTGCGAAAAGTGCCAAATTAAACGCATAAATTCATTAATATTAAAAGCAACTCACAATATTTAAAAGTTCCCTATTTTCAAAGAAACTAAAATTTTAATTATACTTTGTTATCATTTATAAATTAAGATAAGAAAAGCATTTTCAAAGTGGTACACAACATATTTTACAATAACTAGTACTTAGTTTTAAGAATCCAGAAGTCCAGAAGTGGACTTGAGGATTGTTAGGGCGGGGTTACGTAGCGTATCAACTTTAGTGAATAATTTTAGAGCTCTGTCTCTGATATATTTTTTCACTGAGTCAATCCTAAGATCTCTATGTATGTCTGTTGATCTAATATAACATGGAATCTTAAACAGTCTTCTTAAAGCCAGTTTTTGAGCTATCTGTAATTGCTTTAAAGTAGTATTTGAGGCTTTGCTATATGTAACACATCCGTACAGTAGTCCTGGTCTAATTACTTGCGTATAAAGTAACTTTCTGTTTTTAAAGTTGAAGTGATAATTATTATATAGCGGCTTTAATAAATGTAGAATCTTAGAGCAGCTATTCTGTTTGTATTTCAAATGTTTAAGACAATTGAACCGTTTGTCAAAAATGACCCCCAGATATTTTATGTTATCCTCCCACCGTATCTCCGTATCACAAACGCTCACTCTTGGAGGATGCTGTCTTCTTTTTCGAGTTAAACATTTAAATTCTTATTTTAAATTACTATTGTAGTATTAACTTTACTGTTGTACTGTGTTATTTTGAAATATTTTTGGTACGAAATTTTTATTTTAAAATATTATTACTAATCCTAATAGTCCTAATTGTGTTATAGTATTAAATTAGTACCATTGCATTATCATTGTATCTTTTCTGAATTATTTTTTGTTTTTGTGCTTTCTAATATCACATCGAGAAGGTTTTTAACATTGTCGAATGAACAATACGCATTTACAAGAGACTGCGTATCAAAGTTGTGCTTAAGTGTACTAAACATACGAACTCATCATATACGCATCATATAAATGTCATCAAATTACATATGTACACTTTATATAATAAATATTAAATACAAAATATTTGAACATTTAAATAAAATTGTTTATTTTTCTTTGTTTGCCCTCAACAGCTGATATCAATAAAAATTCAGGCACCATACACGAGTTGGACACAAATAATATAAATAGCCTACCACCGGATACTACATTGATTGAGCATACAACCGGCAACGAAGTTTCGATCATGAGTGACGACGAACGAGCGACGAGCTTCTTTGCTCAGCCTGGTATTTTAGCCGGTTAGTATAGTGACTTTCACTCAATGAATATATTAAAGTATTATTAATTAATTTTTCGTGTTTTTTTTTTTTGCTTTATAGCTGTTATCGGCGGTGCTGTTGTTGGTTTACTCTGTGCCATACTCGTAGTCATGTTTATTGTCTACCGTATGAGAAAAAAAGATGAAGGATCCTATGCTCTGGATGAACCAAAACGTTCACCGGCTGTCAATTCCTACGCGAAAAATGCGAATAATCGAGAGTTCTATGCCTGAGATATCTCCCCACGGTACTAAACGTTAAGCAAAGAATTACCAATATAATTTATATACAACAACAACAACAACAACATGCAGCAAGCAATAGAAACAAAATGGCAGCAGCAACAAAATTATAAAAAAATTATAACTTAAACTTATAGCAAAAAAAAAAGGATAAAGAATGAGAAAAGGAATCAGAAAAAAGAGAAAACAATATATGATGTGAACGGTGCAGAGAAAAAAAAATTTGATATTCAATTTACAATTTATAGCAACAACAACACAACAACAAATATTAAATGTCAATAAATTAAAAAAACATTTACAATGCCCTACACCACAAACAAACAAACACACATACACACATACTCACAGTAAGCCTTCGTACACAAAAGTTACTCACCGTGAACTTCAAATACGCAGTAGTAAGTTTTGATCGTTGATCATTTAACGATCATAAAATACATATAAAAACACTAAATAATTTTCTATATGAGCGTCGACTGTTCATTTAAGCATAAATGAAAAAAATTATTATGTACTAAAAACTACATACTCATATATACGCGAAAGTAGAAAAATATAAAAAATTTTCTGAACAAATACAATATTTCTACCTTTTTCGAATTCTTTATATAAAAAATTATTTTTAAGTTTAAATCTATAAAAATTATTTTTAGTTTATCACATAATTATTAACGTAATTTAAACGTAAGCGACATAAAATAAAATATCAATTTATTATTTATTTTATATAAAAATGAAATGTAATGAAATGGAAATAAAAACAAAATACAAAATTTCTTATAAGGGCGGGTTTTCGTATTTAACAAAATAAATACAAAATACAATAAAACTACTATAATATTTAATTAAATATACAAAATAAAAACCAAAAAAAAAAAACTTCAGAATGCAGAAAATTATAATAAAATATATAGATGAAATACTTATGTGTAAACAATTAATAAATATTAAAAATCAGTAATAAGTAAAAATTCAGACTTACGAAATATAATATTATATACTATTATATTATAATGTCTATATAAATGTATGTATGGAAAAGCACCTATTTTTTCTTTTTCTTTTGTATTGTTTAGTATTTTTTTTTTTAATTCCAAATATTAAAAATATAATATCTGATAAAGAATCAATTAAATAAAATTAACAAATGCTCGATTATTAAAAAATATAAAAATGAATATAAATTTAAATTATGTCATATGTAAGCATAATTATTGTAATAACTAGTGTAATTCGTGAAGAAAATGAAATATTTAATTAACAATTGGTAATATTTCAAGTTTACTAATTTAGCAATACTTAACATTTCTAATTTTTTAATGTATTTAAAATCGAAATCAAAACGAAATTAGTTTAAGTTACGCATTTGTTTATTTAAGACTAAATTTATAATGAATGCATGAAAAAGTGTTTCCAGTACCAAACGTGTAGAGCTCTATAATTGTGTCATTTTATTTGTATTTATTGTAATTATAATGAAAATATTTAATTGTTAATTCAGTAAACAGCACAAAAGCGCATACAATACATACATCAATACTTTTGCAACTATTTAGCTAATCTGTGCATTTTAGAATTATTAATTTAATTTACTACCTAACAGAGCTTCTTTTGGTTTACTAGAAAATAGTTTAATTTACTTTTATTTTCAAATAATAAATTTAAATTAAGCTTGTCTTTTTCTATATACAAAAACACTACAAAACTTTGCAATAATTTGTTAATTTTTTTTTTGTATAAATGAAAAATATTATTTAAAAATATTGTTTAAATTTACATATTTTTATATGTAACAACTGTTTAGATATAATATATTTTTTTTATATATTAATTTTTATTTTCTGTGTAGTGCTTTTTTATCAATTGTTTTCCATATTTTCCCATTATGAATTAAATAAAAAATTAGTAATAAAGTAACAAATATAAATAGTTTTATTATATTTTCATTATTAAAAACAAAAATACGTACAGGCTTATAAAAATTACCATAGAGGATTTTAAGTATAAATAACTTTTAACTGTCAAAATGGCATGATTTAATATTTATATGAATGGATGCGACAGATTATTATTAGTGAATGTGGATTAGAGTGTAATTTGAAGAACGAGATTATATATTCTTCCCGTTCTTGTTCAAAATTTTTATCGATTTAGTAATGTCAAAGGATAATTGAACTTATTCTGATTACATAGAAACCTTAACCTTTTTGTATATGTAAAGGAAAAGCAAAGATGTCAGTTTGAGCCAAAACACTGTAAACAAAACTTTTAAATTTAGTAAAGCATGAGGGATACACCGATAAATAATTTCTCTTTTCATATCACACAGATTGACACCCATATAGTGTCACGGTGAATAAAGCTGTCTCTCTACAATGCATATATCGATATAATATATTCGTCGACTTCTACCATAACATAGATAACAACATTGGCATCAATTAACCATAAGGTCTCTTCTTATTACATTTCGACACAGTACCTATTCCAAAAGCACATTTATACCATCACAAGTATAAAATCAATATTTAAACTCTTCATATTTCGAACTAAGAAACTTCAGTGAGCGATAATTTTACTTTTCACCTAGATGACTGTATTTCTACAAAACAGTCTCTCTCTGAATAAGCTTTTATTGTCCTTAATGAAATATGATGAACTCCGAATATCACTCTGCGCATAGCAACAACATTTTTCAACACTTTTTTTATATGGTAGGAAAAGTGGCTGAAGATGGCTTAACCTTAACCACATTTTGAAAAGGTTTAAAGAAGACATCTTTAAAAAATTATTGGTTATAGGTCCAACGCAGGCCCAACTAACTAGCGATTGGCATCCAAAATAGTTTAATAGAAACCACTTGTAGCGGCACCATGATTCTTGTTAGAAAATGATACATATATATTGGATGTTGCAATGTTAAAACGATTGTACATCATTTTCTAATGATTTTTATTAAATGTTTAATCATTTTAAACCATGAAGATATTCTTATGTTATCTGTTACTACAAAAATAATCTGACACCTAGTTTTCTTCACATTTAAATTCCTACAGCAACATTTCATGATTATTTCTTTCATCTTCCACATATTCCTTGCGAACTATTAATAAATTCAGGATATCGTTCCATAATTAAAAAAATTGAAGATGTGAGTTTTCAACATTTATTTTAAAGGGAATGCTGTGTAAAGCCGATAGGTGACGCTGGCGTGACAATCATAGATAATAATACTGTGAATTACTTTTTATCAAATGAATCCATCGTAAATTCCAAGTGATTTAAACAAATAAAAATCGACTGATATTATTCTTGATGAAAGCGATCACAAAATCATTTCAAAAAGAAAAGGGAAGAATTGACTGATGCAAGTTCCTGATGCACTTTGTCGAATATATTCTTTTCACCCAAATTTTCATGGAAATTGCAAAGAGAGAATAACGAGTTTACAAAAACGCACAAAATCTTTTGTTTTAGATGAGTTCAAATTAAGACTAAAAACACTTTAACTACAACATCTTATATTATAAATATAACCACATCCTAATATTTATTTCTATACCATATAACATAATAGTTTATCACCCTATTAAATTTATATAAAATTTCATTTAAATTTATTATCACAATTTTCCTTGCATAAATGGCTTAAGATGCGTATGGAATGACTTGGGCACAGGCTGCGAGTTCAATGAACTTTGTTTTGCTCCCGCGTAGATGCGTTCATATACATTTCCATCATAAGCACCCAGTGTCGACTGAAGTACCGAGTCATGAAAATCAAAACCATCACATATTGCCACAGCGTCCATTCGTAAACGTTTTAGAACTTCTTCCAAACGATTCTGTAAGTCCGTTACATCGGCATCTGTTAGGTTAATGAACTATAAAAATGTTAAAATTGATATATAGAATGATAAAATTGGAAGAATATCGAATATGTGAGTGTTTGAATATATAATATGTAAAGTTGAATATATATATATATAAGTTACTTAAAAATATTACTGTTATCTAATGGAGATAAAGAAAGAGAAAGAGTGATACATGGAAATACTTACTAGCAATATAAAATTCATGTATCGAAGGATTGTCTTCAACAAAAATAATTCCAAAAGATTATGAAGTACAGCTCTTAATTCATTTGATTGTTTTGCCAAGGCATCACCAGTTACTTCAGTGAAGAAGTTACTCGCTACGAAAACACAGGCGTGAAGCTATCCATTGAAAGGAAAAATTCAATAAATATAATTTTAATATATTAAGTAGTTGTATTAATCAAAAATATGAAATATGGTTCCAAGTGTAGATTTAAAAAAATAAAATAATTATTATAAAAGAACTTTATTCATTTATAAATTAACATAACTAGTGTAGAAGTTTTTAACATATCCGAAGAAAACAAGACCTCTCTAGTTATCAAACTCAAATATAAGTATTTCTTGGTATACATAAAAGCAAAACCATTATATTAATTATTAATATCACAATATTTATATTCATGTCATCAATAGATGGTGTTATCAACTATTACGTAGTCTCGTAATTGGATTAAAAGTAATATTTACATTTATATACCTACCTCCGCTACTTGTATCAATTCAATGCCTGTATTATTTAATGCAATTGGTTGACTTTGCCCCATTTTAAGACGTCTCATATAATGCGAAAATGTTATTTCAGTTTTTCTTTAAAGAATTTTATCACAGTATATTAATACTTCGTTATTCAAAATATAGTTTTTCTCACTTAGTTACTCACTTAGTGGTGACAAATTGTAGTGCTTTGATCATACAATCCCACGAACCATTCCAATTAAAGGTTTTCGAATTTTTCCAATCGTTTAAGTATGACATTGTTGGCATCAATTGTTTCTCAGCTAAGACATCTGCCCATTTCTTCATCAGAATTTTTCCCACTTGCAAGTATAAAACAGTATTTTCTCCTTCATAAGTGCAAGTAACCGATATTTTGGCATATATATTTCCAAAATTAGACGAAGTAAGATAACCATGTCCTCCACAGGCAAGCCGTAAACGCTCGATACCAGCTGTGGCATCATATGATGATGAAGCTTTCAATGTGCAAGCCAATGCATGCAATTCCTCCAGACGAGAAAAATCATTTTTCTTAATGGCAACACTGGTATCTTGAAAATATTGATTTAGTTTTGATCCCGATAAATTGTAAGCAATAGCAATTGCTATTTCCGGAAACAATTTATGTTGCTGAGTAACATGGTCTAAAATTTGTGGTTCAGGTTCACTATATTTCAAATATTATCAGTTAATTTGACAATAATGGTTTCAGTAGAAAGTATTCAAACTTACTCAGGATTTATTGGACTTTGACGTCTAACGGCTGAGTAACGAGTTGCTATAGTTGCAGCGAGTGCTAAATGATAGCTGGTATTTAATACAATCACGCAGCGTACATATACCATTGGCAAATAAGCTAATTGACTTTTAGGACTTTGTATAAATGTTCCATCAGATAATACTTTCGAATTTCGCATCAACATATTTGTGCGCGGAATACGAACATTTTTAAGACCCAAAAATCCGTTGTTAACTCCATTGAAACCAATTTTCTTACCAATATCACCAATATCAATACCTGGTAAAGGCATATGAGTCTTTTCATCGCGTACTTGCAATAAAAACATTTGTATGCCTTTAGATTCATTATTAATATAAAGCTGAGCAACAACTATACAATAATTGACGGACTGACCCACTAGAAAACATTTTGAGTATATACAGTAAAAATTAAGAACTTTAAACTATCAGTTACTTACAACCCCCTGGCCACCATTTATATGAAGACAAAGTTGGAGTGTTTAAAATGAATTCATCTGTTTTTCGATTATAATCGGCTCTAGTTTCTAGTCCTTTTAAATTGGTACCATGTCCCAATTCAGTTTGGGCATATGTACCAATAATCTCAAAGTTATCTGCACGCTTACCAAACTTCTGATACAATTCATCAGTACCGTGAGACTTAAGAGCAGGTGTAAACATTACAATATGCACTGTGAATGTATTGCCGAGCGGCATAAGAGATTCGGACAGCGGTCCTAACATTAAAGCCCTATAAATATTTTAATACAGACATAATCGTAAAGTGACAATTTTTTAAATCTTACGGATAAATTTCATTGCCATCAGGATTCAATTTGTTCTGCAATTTTTTCAGTTTTTCTGCTGCTTTAATACAATCATTTAATGCTTTAGTGTATAAGTCCTCGTAAGGTAAATATTCATAAATATGAAGATCGTCAGCATCTGATAGCAATTCCTTTTCTTAAATATTCACAAAATTATATATACATAAAAGACAGTTTTTGTTAAAATAGTTATATGGTAACATGCTTATTGCCCTATATTTTTTACTACATAATTTTATACATGTATTCTCTACTCTCTCTTATTTAGAAATTTTTTAAAAAACATTTCTAATTTAAAATTTATTTAATGTTTTTGCGTTATCAATTAAATAAAATTTTATTAACAGTCATTAATTTTATGTGTTATAAAAAATTAGTATAATCTGTTGAAAAAATTCCTAACAATTCATTATGAGCCATTTATAACGTTCATATACGTAGAGTTATTAATAAGTAACCTACATGCAATTTGAAGTAGTCACTGTTATTTTGTAATTGCAATAAATTCATGCTTTTTTTATGAACCTTAATTATTTTAATTATAATTTACATTTTACATTATCAGACTCAATCTTGAGTTACATTGAAACTTCGGTAGAACGAGATGACAGATCATTTGAGGTCAGATTTGCATTGCAGGAATGATCATTAATAGCATAGTTGAATCAATTTTATAGAACCAATGCTAACATATAGTAGAATATATTTTCTTACGTGTATTCTATTAAATTTTAAACATAAATTTCACTTCACTAATTTATTTGCTTTTTATCAGAGAAAGTTTAATAAATTGTACGAAACTTGTTCATACTATGGACTTTAAGTGCCCATAACTTAAATGCCACACTTAAATTAGTGTTAATTAGTTAAATTTTTGCATGTCCTTTGAACTTTCTGTGCCAACCTCTGATCTCTGTACTTGTATACACTCTTGATATAATTTTGGAAACACGTATTTTCCAATTAAGTATCAATAAAATGATAACATAAGTCTTAAAATTATATATATAATTTTCGTTCCTTCCCTTTTAATGTAGGGGAAGATTAAAGATATATATATATATACATTATATTGTCTATATATATTATTTAAAACATATAACAAGTTTTCACAACAAAAATCTAAATGTTACAAAGGATCCATAAGGCAGTTACGCAAATTCAGACGCCTTACCAAAGAAACGTTTTATTTGCAATTGATTTTCACCCTGCCAAATCACGGCGGCGAGTTCTTCACTGTCGAAACTAGCATTTTGACGTTCTTTTAACAAATCGACATTAATCGATTTTCCAATCGACATTTTCACCTATTTTAACTTCAATAAATAAAGAAAAGAAAATTACAATGCGATCAAACAACCGTCACGAATCCACACAACTTGCAGACATAACCAACAGACCTGCTCGGAATTCAATTTATATAGGTATTTATAATTTATACACAAAAAAATATTACGAGCTTATAAATCACGAACACATAACAAATTGCTTATTTAGTCTACATGTTTAAAAAACTGGATATTATGGATAAATAATTAGAAATGCAGTTTAACAAATTACTAAATTGAAAAAAACAAGGGGAGTGATTAAAACACGTAATGTAAATATGTAAATATTATCATATTATAATAGTATAATAATTTTATATTAATATAAAATATACTCATATTATTATTATTATTGATATAGTAGAGAGTACTATATTCCACGACTCAGATGATTTATCATGCTAACCTGAGTTGTGTCAGCTTCGTTCTCATCCTTAGAGTCGGACATACCAACAAACTTCGATTTTGTATTACTTTGAGCTTGTGGCTATAGGTTTCTACTTCTAGTTGCCATCTGGCATGGGAGCACCGGGATGACACTTCCAGAGCATGTTAATAGCTCCAGACTAAGTACGTGGCTGCTATCATTCCGTTAAAACCCTGGAAGACCTCAAGTACGTTCTATATTCATCACTATTAAGTTGGTAGTCTAAGTTCAGTTGAGGTTTGATAATAGCTTATGCCAACTCTCGCATGACCTCACTGTATTTGCACAGTTAACCATGGATCTTTGAACATTAACTTGAACAATACAAAAAAGAAAACCCAACCTCAAAAAATATGAACCCCTCAGGGGTGCATTTAAATCTGGTTACGCAAACGCTTAGCAGTAATAATCGGATAAACTTGTGTGCCTCTGGCTTGAAAAAAGTCTAATTTCATACCGAGCGGATACCAATAGGATCGTGCCTTTGCTGCGCACCCTGACAATCGTGCCATATGGTAAAGCTACCTGTTGATCTTACATGCTAATACCCTGGTTAATGCACACAAGCTCAACTCTTGCGGCGAAAGACATGGTTGCATTTAAGTGGACCACAGAGAACATCAACAGCAACGGGCAACAAAGCAGGCCGTACAAACTGTACCCCCGCATCTATCAAGCATCCCATGCTGGGAACTTTTAGACCCTGTACCTCCAAACTTAAATCTTGGATAACATTTTCCTTGCCAACTGGAAAGTGGTGGAACGGACTCTACTTAAGATCTAGATGGCCCCAGAATATATAGGCTGGCCAAGGCTCACTCTGCTCCTGACATTCATCTCTCAGATATTGACGTCTTGCAATGGCCTGACAAGATCATTCCGTCAGATTTTTAGATCAACCTGGTCCTTAATGAACAAAAAACGTATCAATCAGCTGCTTCGACTAAGGCATAAGCTGCTCAGCATTACGGTACCTGTACTGACGCGTTGCTACGTACTAGAAAGACATGCTATTAGACTCTACGCTACAATGACAATTGTCGTGATTGTGACTCTGCGGGTTAAGAGAAAACTGCAATTCATGTTTTAGCGCCCATCATTGACTAAGAGAAGACAACACGAGTTACGTATAAACAGCGCTTATCCGTGGTATCACAAGGTGCCTTTATTTCACCTCAAGAAGGCTTCCGGCGGCAGCCATTATCCGCCACCTAATCTAACGTAGTTGCGTGAACCGATTTTTTAACTTGTAATGAACTTTTGACGGTTTTGTAGTAATTTCTGTCCCGATAAATCAGCATACGTATCAGAATATGTTCAGATGTCTCACATCCATTTCACAAAACTGGTAAGTACTTGTCACTGAAACGCCAATTTTGTTGATATAGTATCTCAATCTGCAGTGCCCTGTCAGAAATCCAGTGAAAATTTTGATATCTTCTCCCTACTGTGAAAAATCTAAGATAATAGTGTAAGAGTATTATGTCAGATGACTTTGACTATCTCAGCTAGTTTGATGAATATTTTAGCATATCCTT